GACTGAATTACCTTTCATTACAGGAGAGGATAGAAGAGAGATCAGGGTTAGGATAAGCCTGGAGAATCTCCAGTTCCTGCTAGCTGCACCGTTCCTGCTTTGTGGATAAACAAACCTCTTCAGTTCCCCCGGCTGGCAGTCAGTTAACCTTTACTTAGCCTTCACGTACACAATGGTCAACCTCTCCCCTCATCCATCCCCATAAATAACTCTTCAAAAATAAATACATCAAAGGAAATGAAAGCAGCAGCCACATCCCATGACACAGCACTGTGTCACGGAGCTTGCTTTCACAGTCCCTTACCTAAAGGAAATGAATCCTGACACCGAATTCCCGTCGCATTAGCAAGTTTAGCACCAGCCACAAGGAAAGAGGATGTTTCTTTACCCCTTGAGAAGTGCTGTACATAGAGATTAATTTGGTTTCTTTCAGCTGTGCTCCTTTGGGGTTTGCCTCTGTTCCCCCCCGCTTGCATTTGGAAACGTCTGCACGTAGCCTCTCAAAATGGTGGATAAAGGCGAACGAGCTCTCCCAACTTAAAACGAGTTTTAATTCCCAACTTAAAACTCAGTGCACGTCCCCTGCTGGGAGACCTGCACTGAGTCCCATGCCAGCCACAGGTCCTGGCAAGGAGGCATGGGGCAGTGGGTATTCCTGGACTCCCACACCACCCTGCATCTCCTTGCCAGGACCCACACTGTCCCTCACTTCATGTAGAGGCAGACGTCAATGGGGATCCCAGCACAGGCTGATGCAGACAGGAGCAGGAGTAGGGGAATCCTTAGTGCTCCACATCTCTACAGGTGGACCCACATTGACCCATGCCTCTGAATGAGACACGGGCCAGCATAGACCCCCAGAGAGGCCCAGGGTCATGCAGGTCCTGGTATTGAGGCACAGGGTGCCTTGGGCCACATCACTGTAATCAGGGAAAACCAGGCATGTGCTCTGGGGGCTTGAGGGGCCCAATCATATGCACAGTGCTTGGGATTGGGCCTCTCAAGCCCCCAGAGCGCCTGCCTACAATGACAGAAGAGTGCAGGGAGCTCCAGGCTGCCCACGCTCTCCCATGACAGAGCAAAGAGACATTGGCCGCAATAAAGAGGCACAATCTATTAGTACCTTTTGTTGCACCACTGTTCTGGCACAACAGAGCAGGCACGTCTATTTACTTGGCATTTGTGCTGCCATAAAAATTATTATTGTAACACAACCAGAGCACAAGCAACATCTGTTTCAGCCCTGCTCATCTAATTCTCTAGCTGACTGATGTCCATCACTTGCCGTTCGAGTGGAAGGAGTCCTAAAAGCCTGTTTCCACAAGTCGAAGTTGTCCCTATGTGGTAGTAGCTTGAAGAACCCATATCCAGTAATATATAACACAGGAAGGGAGCGCAGAAAAGTCTTTTGTATAGCAGCTCTGCCCATAATACTCAGGGATTGTTCATTCCTATGGAGCAAATTGCTTGAAAGGTTAGCAGGACAAACCAAATGAGGTCATCCCGCCACAGCACCACACAGCGGAGGCAACACGCCTGGGAGGATAATGGACAGAGCGGATTGCTCATCCCCAGTGCCCATGAGCAAGTCCCAAGAAAGAGTGCCTCTGCCCAAGACACCGTCTCCACTCTACACAACCCTCTAGGCTCACTGGGAGGCACCTGTTGAATACTTTGCTCAGCAGCCCCCGTTCCTTGCTGCACAACCATGTGTTTTCATTGCTCTGTGGGCAGGAAAATGTCTGTGCGCTCAGCTTGGTAGAGGGACCCCACTTTGGAAAAGAAACAACCTCTAGATCTTCATTTAGAGACTGTGGCTTCAATTAAAGGTAATTACTTCCCTCTTTAAACTGAGGGCAGATTCTATTAAACTTATTTGCTGTCCCCTGTGGCTCTCATGATAGAGGTAGAGCAGCGACATGAGGGCAGACTCTAATGAAGGGTATAGCTGCTAAATGTAGATATACAAAGCGGTATCTAGGTCAGGGGAGCCAGATGAAAGCATCTTCCATGTTTCCATGCCTTTTTCACTGGCCTTCTAATAAACATGTTAGCTTTCCAAATTATTGCAAGCAGCTGTATCCACTAGCAGCCCACAAGACTATATTCACTGTATTTGAAAGGTTTGTAACAAAGGTAAGGCAGCTTTGATGTCTGAGTTGATTTCAGATTAACTCCGTAAGTTAAATTCATCCCTTGTGTAACTCTACTGAAGCCGGTACATTTGGCTTTCTATCTTCTAAGCCTCTATTTTATGTGAGGCTTGAAAAGAAATAGATGTTTGCATAAACAAATAGATCTGGGAAATATGCATTTTATAATATATAAGTATGGCTACTTGAAGTCCCGCGTGTATCTGATCATCCCCAGTAACAAATTATACAATCTTGTATTCGTATTTTCCAAAGGGAAAAAAAAAAGGTGTTTGCTTCTTATTCTCCTTATTAATGCAACTGAGAATCAGATCGTGTTTTAATGGAGCTGCAAAAAAGGGACTGAGTTTTATTTTGTGAAGTAGCAGGTCTACTGTATGTTCCCTCATTTTAAAATGGATCTGGAGCCAAATCATCTCATTGCAGCATTTTCTGCTTCCATCATTAATACGCTGGGTGATAGTGTAAGGATGTTTTCATGTCCTGGCTCATTCAAGAAACTGAAGAACCCGGAACTAATGAAAATGTGACTTCTGCAGAGCAGAGCAGCAACCTTCAAATGAAGAATCTTAATATGAAACTATGAAACATAAAGGGTTTTTTTGTGGCATCTTGCCATGAAGGTTGAAATACTAAAACCCAGCACCCTGTTAAGTGTTCCCTTTGGCCCTGGGTTGTAGCCTCGCTGGCATTTGTTCGGTTCACTGCCTGTGAGAGCTGCTGCTCCTCAATCATCTTACAAAGGCAGTACATGTTTATCTATACCATCCTATACTACCTACCATTCTGCAAGTTTGCAGCTTGATCTATCTAGATACTAGGCCTTTGCGAAGCGGCTAGTATTCGCTTTGGATTCGACCGATTAGGGGGACAGTGATTCGATTCGGTGATTCAAATCACTGTCCCAATTCCATTCGGCCAAATCTGATTCGGAGATTCGGCTGCTGCTGAATCTCCAAATCTCTGAATCAGCCAGGCCAGGCCCATCCCCCACCCCACTCCCAGCCCGGCAGTGGCTGCCCACCCCCGCCCCAGCTCCTGTTTTGTTTTGTTAAAAAAAAAAACAACCCGGCTCACCAGGTGCTGCCAGGCAGGCGGGGGGCATGATTCCTGCTGCCCCCCACTGCCCCACGCTGCATGGGAGTCTCTGCACGAGCCCCCCTGAACCTGCCTCTCACTCCCAGCCCCCACATGGGTGCCAGCTCCAGCCCTTTTAAGAAAAAAAAAAAAAAAAGCAAAAAAACCCCCAGACTTGCTGCTCCTGCCAGTGGGGGTGATCCCCACTGCCCCCCGCTGCCCCATGCCACATGGGGGGCTCTGCATGGGCCCCCCGAGTCCACGAATCTGCCACAGGAGCAGTGAGTCCCGGAGCTTTTCTTGGGGTTTTTATTCTTAAAGAGCCAGAGCTGGCCCAGGTAGGGTACCCAGGAGGGGGCTGGGGGAGCAGGGGAGGGGGTTGGGAGGCTCATGCAGAGCCCCCTACACAGAGGGGGGCAGCAGGGATCACCCCCCACCCAGCAGCACCTGGTGAGCACTGGGGCTCTTTTGTAAAGTGCCGAGCTGGGGCAGGTGGGGGCAGCCATGGGAGGGACTGGGCGAGCGGGTGGAGGTTGTGGGGGGCTGCAGGGGTCCCTCCGTGGTCCCCTCCCCCAACTTGGTACTCTCCCCCTCCCCTAGTACTTACCAGCTCAGACTTGGCTGCAGCTCCCTGATTCAGAGAGCTTTGAATTGATTTGGACCTTTTAATAAACTTTTAACTGGTCCCCTGATTCGATTCAGATCTGGAGATTCGGCTGAATCGGGCCAAATCTCCTCCGAATGGAATCGCCACCCAAAGCTTCTCACAGCCCTACTAGATACATCCCAGTTGTGTCTCTGTCCAAGACTCCTGTGACTAAGCCTCTTTCTAGTGTCCCATTTCCTTGACCCTCATTGTTTCATGATATCCCTGATTTTTTGCTTCCAGCTGCCTTCATCTACCTCCCAGTTTCTCCAGGCTTGCCCATTATCTGTGTATCCAAATGCTAGTTCTAGTGAACCTTCTGTTTAACTCTGTCTGTACAAATCCTGTTTTCTCATAAAACCACCAATGCAGACTAGTTGGGCAGGGAATGATGTCATGTGTTTATTGCCAAACCAGTTCCTGAGCTTGAGCTTTAGATCACATTGCTTTAAAAAAACCCTAAAACCCTCTTGATACGATATTGGGACACACAGTAATGGGATACTCAGAAGGACTTCACAGTTTTGAATGATTTGGTATTGTCCATAATTGATTGTAAGTCTCTTTAATCACACGTTCCCCTCTCTGTTACTCTCATTCTTGTATGACGCTTAAGTTTGGAGAGGTTGCTGTATTAAACCATAAGCTTTTTGGCAAATTTTGCTCTTGCTATATGATTGTGCAGTGGGGCCCTTACTGAAGCTCCTAGGAGCTGATTCAAAGCTATTAATAAATACCAGTAACGCAGTTTATAAGATTTGGATTTGCAAATCTGTGAAAAATGAGATGAATGCTGGATTAATGATACAGTATTTTAGTCTCCTTTGAACTGTTGTTTCTTTTTGAGGTCCACAAAAGGTAGGAAGTGTGCAAGTATTGATGTGTCATAAGTAATGCGCATATCTGTCTCAGAGTGCTGTAATCATTTGAGGGTTTTGTTCACTTTCTTCTCCAAACACTATTATGGTCTTGATTGACTGCATTTGAATTCATTGATGGACATCAGGAGGGAGGGAAGATGGTGGGGCTTTATTTCTGAACGGGGCCATTTCTAGTTAAATTATCTCTATATTTGTATGAAAAATCCATGGGATTCTCACCCTGTTTGGATTTATCCCCCACAGATTATCTTCCGGAAAATCAGTGACGTCAAGAAGGAAGAAGAGGAGCGCCTACGTCAGAAGAACGAAGTGACACTGAGCATCCCTGTGGACCACCCTGTGAGAAAGCTCTTCCAGAAGTTCAAGCAGCAGAAGGAAATGCGGAACCAAGGCTCAACGCACATGGATGCAGAGAGGAACCAGCTCCAGGTGGAGAGCCGTGCCATGCAGAATGGGGCTGCCATCACCGGCACCAGCGTGGTCACGGTGTCTCAGATCACACCCATCCAGACATCCCTGACGTACGTGAAAACCAGTGAGGCGGTTAAGCAGAACAACCGGGATGCAATGGAGCTCAAGCCAAATGGCAACAGTGACCAAAAATGTCTCAAAGTGAACAGTCCCATGAGGATGAAAAATGGGAACGGGAAAGGGTGGCTCCGACTAAAGAACAATATGGGAACCCACGAGGAGAAAAAGGAAGACTGGAATAATGTCACAAAGGCTGAGTCGATGGGGTTATTGTCCGAGGACCCCAAAAGCAATGACTCAGAGAACGGGGTGACGAAAAACCCCTTGAGGAAAACAGACTCTTGTGACAGTGGAATCACAAAAAGTGACCTTCGTTTGGATAAAGCTGGTGAAACTCGCAGCCCTCTGGAACACAGCCCTATTCAAGCTGATGCAAAACACCCCTTTTACCCCATTCCTGAGCAGGCCTTACAAACCACACTCCAGGAAGTCAAACACGAACTCAAAGAAGATATCCAGCTGCTAAGCAGCAGGATGGCTGCCCTTGAGAAACAGGTGGCAGAGATTTTAAAAATACTGTCCGAAAAGAGCGTGTCCCGAAGCTCTTCCCCCAAGTTCCATTTATCACCCGAGCTCCCTCCGCAAATACCCTGTCAGGATATTTTTAGTGTGTCGAGGCCCGAATCACCAGAATCAGAAAAAGATGAAATCCACTTATAACATATACCTATGTGTATATATGTATACAGTATATATGCAGGAGTGTATATATACCCTTATACATATATATGTGTGCGTGTATGTGCGTGTGTGTGTACAGTAAATATACATACATATATATTTTCACGTGCATCCAATATGACTTGAACACAACAAGGATTTTGATATGTAAATATTGCATGTCCAGCTGGATTCTGGCCTGCCAAAGAAAACACTTATTAACATAGATATTGCTTGTATAATATGCAGTTGACTGCATGCACACTTTACATTTATTTATAACCTCTATTATGTAATAAAAGGATGACCTTTCTTTAACCAAGGCAATGTACTATTTAAAGAATCAGGGTCCAACCTGCCAATATTGCCATGACAGTTTTGCTCTCAGGCTGGGTGAATTGAACTTTTTTTCCCTTCTCATTTGTCCTTTCTGCAGAGTTAAACAATAGAGTAACATCCAGTGGAAGACGTGTTCGCTCTTCAATTAGAACTATTTCCAGGTGTTGTTTCGTTATGATATCATGTATATTTACGATAGATTTTTCTCCCTTTAAAGGGGAGGATTCATCTGAGTTTAAAGGGACGGTATTTTTAACCAGCATCAGGTGATAGTCTAGACTGTGAGAACTTATTTTGGTGGGTATTCTGCATGCACTGCATTTCATCCCAGCTACCCTCCTGCTCTTCTAATGTTATATTTAAGGGACAATAATAATGAATATTTATGTAAAAAGAAACAAAACAAAACACCTCACATGTAGTCCCTGTATATTTGGGGGGAAATGAACTGTTTCTTGAAAGCCTCCTTTTATCAACGCCATTCATACTTAACTCTTAGAATAATAATTACGTAGATTCGGGTAGTTACACTCAGCTGCGGTGTCTGAGTCCGTCAGTGTCTTTGTTATAAACTCCAGTTTTTCAGGGGTTTATTGTAGCTCCCCCCAAAATTGCTCCTGGCTGAGGCTTTTTACACAACTTCTCAGCAAGGGAAAGTGAAATCTTAGCTCAGCTCCTTGTGAGCTGCACAAGTGGTTTTCAAAGCCTGAAGTTAAATGATTGCAAGGGATTTTTCGCACTTTTCCTAGGATGTTTATAACTCTGACATTTCCAGTAGAGAGAAAAATGATCAGGTGATATATTTGTTAAGAGGTTGCTCCACCTACAGAGAGCCTGGGTGATTGGGCTGTGGGTGGGGCAGGTGAAATCCAGTCTTAATGCCTCCTGCAAATGATTTTGAACTATGGGACTCTTTCAGTGAATTTTCGGTCAGGCTTCAGGGATACAGCTGTGGTCCCCCAGACAACCAGTTGCAAAGTGTACTGGGGCCATGAGATCTGTGTTAATACGGATCCTACATTCTCTCTCCTAGCTTACTCCCCTTGGCACCCTCTTCGCCCCATCTGCCACACATCTGATTGCTTAACCTCCAGCACCATCCTTGTCCGCTGTCAGTGTGAGAGCAGGGCTATAGTCAGGAGGGGTCTTGTCTTGGCTCTTTATGGCCCAGGTGAACTCTACTCTGCCTGCCTATGCGGTTTGCAAAGAAGCCCTCTCTCCTACTCGCAAGACTTCCAGATCTGTTTGGGCCTAGCAATAATAGGCAGTGCGCTATTATCTCTAATGGAGCTACACTAATTTACACCAGCTGCAGATATTGCTCCTTTACAGAGCCTTCCCCCCTCTTGCGCCCATCAGAACTGCCCTTAGACACTTGAGAACAGATGCTCTTGCTGGACTAGACCGAGGGCGGGCAATTATTTTGGGCGGAGGGCCACTTACTGAGTTTTGCCAAGCCATCGAGGGCCGCATGACAGGCCGCCCAGGGCAGATAAATATTAATTCTCTAAATTTTTTAGGGGCCCCGCGGGCCAGATAGAATGGCCTGGCAGGCCGCATCTGGCCACTGGACCACATTTTGCCCACCCCTGGACTAGACTGACACAATACACCATAATGACTCCATTGGGGAAGGGTTTCCACATTGTGCTTTTATGACCTTTTGTGTCACAATCCCACTTTTTAGAAAGTGCCTGTAGTAGACAGGAAGCTGTTTTAATCAGCCAGCTGAATAACACTTATTTTTATGATTATGCGGCATCCTTATCAAACCAACCAGCAGAGCCACTGCTTTCTATTAGGTAACTTCAAAAAACTCTCTTGCAAATTATGCATTTTACCACGTTGGAAGCATGAAGTGTGGTATGCAAGGCTCTTCACGTAAGAACTGGGTAATTCCACAAAAGAGCATCACGGACACAAAGAGGTCCTTGCATCTGTTGTGTCAATCCCTGTGGGCTTTTAAGACACATTTTTCTTATCTTTGCTTTTTCTTTTCCCATCAAATCCCCTATTCCAGGGAATTCATGGAGAAAGGGGGGGAACCAGATCCAAATGATAGGGCAAGAAAAGCGACAATTTATTTTGGATGCTGTCCGAGCTGCCCGGCTCTTTTTGCCCATTTCACCCTTGCTTTCTGGGGGCTTTGGCTTGCATTGGCAAACATTTGCCGCGCTCTTTTGCCTTCACCATTCAGCTGCAGGTCTGAGGCAGGTAGCTTGGAGGCCCAAGAACTCACCGCTCATTTTGCAGAGACAAGTTGCATTTGCAAATAGAGGCCGGGCATAAGGCCACTAGAAAGTCCACTTTTGAGGAAGCATGGCATTTATTCCGGCATCTGGCACAAGCACAAATATTGTTGGTACAATTGAAGCACCAGGCTTTTAAACCTGATGTCTGGCTTCAGTCTCTGACATGCAGCAACTGATTTTCCTGTATCCATCGACAATGTGCCTAGCTGTTGCAAGTGTCAAGAGACTGACTGTGTTTGATCTCACCTGGCATCCCATCGGTTATGGTGCAACTTCATCTCGCCATTCCTGAGTGCAGCTGAGCCAACGTGGTTTTGCTGTGTAGGAATGACTGGCGATTCCAGGGGTCAGGGTACCATGTATATACCCCATGCTCAGCTCAGGGGAGAGGGAAGGGGCGGGTGGCTGAACTTCAGCACAGAGGACGGAGTGGGAAAAGCCTGATTGCTGGCTGCTTCCCAAGGGCTCCTTGCCTCACCAGGTGTGGGGCAACAGTTCCTAAATGAAGGGTCATAAGAGTGGGGTTTTTAGTCCCACAGCAATTCAGTTTATAGCACATGGGCTCACACCAAAGGCGGGGTTGTGAGCCAACTGAAGGTGGAGTCACCAATCCAGAGGTGGGCTCAACTGCTCAAAAAGCATGGGAGCTGTTGGGGTAGAGGCTACTGCAGATCCAAAGCTGCAGAATTAGCCCAAAAAAGAGGATTCTTCCCTTGCTCCCTTTATACAACCTCCCCATTACTTGCTGGGGACTGGATTTTGATTCATTGCTATTAGCAGCTAATTCCATGAATGCATGGAATATGCCTCTGAGTTATGCTGCAGCACATACAATAGGCATAACAGGATAAGTTAGTTAAAAAACATTAGCCTTAACTGTGAATTCCTTTGCCTTTTGTGGGGGGATTTAGTTCTTTCTCTATAGCTGATACTAATGCAAAGTAGAACTGCATGGCATGCTAAGGGGTTTTTTTGTTTGTTTTGTTTTTTCATGGGTTTTTTTAGAAGTCACAAATTAGGTAGAACTTCATGCCACTTTACAATGAGAGAACATGTAACGAAACTAATCCAACCTTGAAAATTATTTGAGCCAGCAGTATCAATTACAGTTCAGGTACAACGCTACTGGTTAAAAATGCATATTGGCCAAAAGCTGTGTATCCTATGAAATAGCAAGTTCACAAAGCAAAGTGTTTCTAGGGTGAGTGTCAATATTTGTGCCTGCTAATCTTTCTCTACAATGTTCCTAAGTCATTCATTGCGAAGATCCATTGTATTAGTTCAAACCTGTAAAAGGCAGTATTTACAGGGCCAAATTTTCAATAGGGGTACAATGGCTGTTCTTGCAAAATGGTAACTGGAGCATGCAAAGTAGCTATATCGGCCTTTGTTTATTTGCCAGCACAAGGGTGTTTGAAGGCACATTTTGCAGATGCAACCCTTATGGCTACAGTTCTGAAAATTAGGCTAATATATTTTAAGTGCTTTGCCTTTACTTTAAAATGACAGAGCATTACATGTTGTTTCATGGAGTAGCTATGGGATCATTTGTTTTGCTTTCCAGCCCCTTCCTTCCTATGTTTGCATGATGTGGTTGGCTGTGCGGCTGAAGAGAGTATATACCTTTTTCGGTAGAGAAGCATGAATTCAGTGAACATTGTAAATATCAGTCTCGTTTTTCAAGTAGGGCAATATTTGCCAGAATATAACAATCTAATTCAAACTTGCCTAAAAGTGAACACCTACGTTAATACGTGCAATAATTAAACAAATAAACAACAACAACAAAAAAAAGTCTGTTTTGCCTAAATCAGCACTCAAGTAGTTCATATCCCATTTTGGGGACCACTCAGCTGCATGCTTTAAGATTCTTTTTTGAGAGCTGTATAAATGTACATATGTTCATGCTGCAGACGAGTAATAGCTATAATTCTTAGCACTTTCCTTGCGCTTTACATATTCAAAGCGCTTTACAAACACATAAGTGGATTTTATCTTTCTGGATAAGATACCAATAGAAATAAAGTGTATACAGAAAAGAAAGCACTTTCCAAAGTAAATGAAATACCTTGAATAATATTTTTGCATAATATTATATATATAGATATATATATAGAGAGAGAGAGAGATGGTCTGACTAGAAGTATAATATCACATCATGGTAATAGCTCAAAAACTTTGAGTAATTAACCCAGTAAAGACTTGGTCATGACATATCCCTGATTATACTGATTTCTTATTTGTAAATTTGTAAGAATTTTTTTTTTTAACTGAGGGTTCGGGATTAGAGTATAACTGATTATTTTGAAGACAAATAAATAAACTTTTACTATCTTTTCTTCCTATTAGCCTTGTAGATTTTGCAGAGTCAACATAGCTGTAAGGACTTGATCCTCCTCTTATTGAAGTCAATGGCAAAATTCCCATTGGCTTGAATGGTGCAGGGTCAGCCATGAACGTGTGCACTGGACTCCCTTCAGGCTCATTGAGAGAATCTAGTTCCAGTTACAAGTACAAATGCATCCATTAGCTTCAACTACATGGAAAACAACCATGTTACCCAGGTCTCAATGAAGGTTGACTTTGGCTTGCAGAAGTCTGAGTTTTGGTGGTAATGCCTGAATCAGAGAACACAGCATAATTTTCAGATCCCAGGCTGAATATGCTGAGCTGAAAGTTGCAAAAATAACACTGCGTCACTTAATAAGCCAAGTGCTGAAAGCCACTGAGATGCAATAAATAAGAAACCTCATGAGTAGAGCTGGTCAGAAAACCGATGTTCTGTCTCTGAAAAGTTTCGGGATGTCAAACAAATGTCAAAGGTTTGTGGAAGGGAAATGCAGGAAAAAGACTGCTTCAGGTTGATTGAAATGTTTTGCTTTGATTTGGACTATTTTTCAAACAATTTATATAAAATAAATTTTGCCACAAAGTCATTTTGGAACACTACAATGGAACATTCCATCTCAAAAATGTCAAAACGGGATGTTTTGACACATTTTGGTTTTTCTTAAGCAAAATGTTGTGGAAATGGATATGATTTTGAAAAAAACCCAACAGTTTTGTAAAAATGGCATCATCTGGTAGAAAGGCATTTCAACACCAACACAAAAATTAACTGGGTCTTCCCATAATGCCATTTTTTAGTTACCCTTCAGAGAAGAAATTATAACTTTTTAATCTTTTGACTAAATAAATATTCTGCTGTGAGATACGCAAACTAATCTATAGCACTGTGTAATCTTACTGCCAACCTTCTTCCTGTAAAAGACTTGACACATGGGGATGCTGGGCTCCTCATAGGGCTCCAGTTCTGCAAGGGCATGAGGACCCTCTTCTCCCATTAATTTCACTGGGAGTGGAGAGTATTTAGTACCTTTAAGGACTGTAAAAGGTAGTATGCATTTTTCTTAGCCCTCCTAAAAAGACCCTGACACTTTTTTCGCAGGAAATTCAAGATAGGAAAACACGTTTGTCTATATAATGTCCACCAAATGTCCCTGTTCCTTCAATGAATTCCACTGGTATAAGTGAGCCCCATAGCATGGGTGAGGAGAAGAGAGGGTCTGCTCATGCTGACTGATTGACTTGAATTTAAGAGCCAACTTCTGAATTTCCTCCACATGTGTCTAGTTTATTTTGAGGTACAAAGAAACAAAATCTCTGCTTTCTAAAAACCATTTAAACAGGTTTCATAATCTGGCACAGTTCTTAAAGCAGAATATTGTGGAGCATCTAATAAGAAATGAAAGATTCCATGTCATTTCTAGCAGAAAACCAGTAAGTTCTTTTAATTAAGGATGATTTTATTGATGACAACTGATGCAAAAGTTAGCTTGGAGACAAAAAAGGCATGAGAGACAAAATGAAACCACTGCCACTGGGCCAGTTGCAATGGTAAAAAAAAAGGTGGGGGGAATCTTGCATATTGGGGTGGGACAGTCAAGCACATATGTGGTGTGTATACTCAGGCAATGCAAGCATTCAAGTGCTTGAGCAGCCCAAGGTAAAGACACTCATCAGATTTTGGTGGAGCTCTGCACATGACTCAGAGTTAGAGACTACATGGTGGTGCCAGCAAGCTCAGTTATGCCAAAGGAATAAACTCCACCCACTTTTTCCTGCTATACATGCATCAGTCCTAGAGATGAAGCAGTGAGGATCCCTTTGGGGGGAGTCCTCTATGACACTGATTTTCCCAGCAGGTTTGGGAGT